TCCCCACTGATTGCAGCTTAGCACTCCGCTGCGCTCAGAGAAGTCCACCATTGTGTATGTGACTACCCGCGTCCAGAGCTTGTACAGAGTGTTTTCCAGGCCCACCCGTCTATAGTTTGTAAGGTCCATGAAGTAGCACTGTCTCGCTCCGTTTCCATGCATCTGGCGTGTGCCCCGCAGCCCACATCAGCTGCATCAAGGCGTGCAGCGCTTCGTGACCCGCTTGCGGGAGTGCCTGCAGCACCTCGTTGACGACGCCGTCAGGCCCTGGGGCCTTGCCACGCGCCAGCGTGCGAATGCATGCGTGGTAGGCCGCCACGTCTGCGACGTTTTTGTGCAGCCAGCGCCGACGGCCAGGGCCCGTTTGGTCAGGGGCCAGGAGTTTGAACGCATCAGTTTGGTTCGGCGCCTCAAATGGGTATTTCCTCGGTGCCTCTGCAGGCAGGTACTTCCCAGTTTTGCTGTCGCGCGGGGCAGCCACCTTTTGGGACATGAAGTCTGTCACTATGCCTATTATCTCCTCAGGGTTGGTTGTGTTTTTGCCAGTGGCGGGGTTGTGCAGCACCCTCAGAGCTGCCTCGGGGCGCTCTCCAGCGGTGCCAAAGACTATCTTGTTGCCCACCCGGGGGCGTTGCGCCACGAGCTTGATCATCTGGTTTCTCCTAGCTGTGGCCTCTTCCCGAGACTGCTCCTTGGACATGGCCTCCATCTCCTTTTTGAGTTTTGCATTCAGGGCAATCAGCTCCTCTCGTGTCGGCTTGTCTGACCCCTCACGACTTGTTGGGTCGGGCGGGTGGGTCACCCCTGCACTCCCTTTCATGGCTGCGAGCGCCGAGAGCACCTCTGCTGGCAGCACGCTGCACGCACCCCGGTGGTGTTTTGCCAGCGTCTTTCGCATTTCGGCCATGCGGCGCCACTGCTTCGCTGGCCCCCGCGGCTTGAAGTGTTTGCCCCCAGGGTTGGTCATTTTTGTGGTGCAGGTGACTATGGCCAGCGCCTGTGCCTTTTGTAAAATGTCACACATCTTTGCTGACACCTGGTCAATCCATTGGTGTGCTGGTGCGCCCTGGATGGTCGCCAGCCTATGCCGTTCTCCAGGGTCCTTCTGCAGAAGGTACGCGTTGTGCGGGTCCAAGTCTTTCTCCCGCGCGTTGAGGAGCTCTGCTTGCAGGTCAGCGAGCTCCGGCCCAAGCTTTTCCCTCAGTGCTTGAGTCAG